TGTTGAGTTATTCTTGTTGTATTAAGATGGCACGTGTGCTCGTAGGTGTAAAAAGAGTAATCGATTATGCAGTCAAGGTAGAACATCTTTATATCGTACATCTTAAAGTAAAAAAAAAAAAAAACGAATATATATTGTTCTTAAGCTTTATATTTTTCTTCGGCAATATCTAATAAAATGCAACAAAGTTAATAAACTTTTTTTTTAAGAGAGATTCAAAAATGCAGGGCTGTAATATTATTAAATTAAAAATATATATGTGAAATATAATAAATCAAATAATATGTTTATATATTTTCACAGATTCGTGTCAAGCCTGATAAGACTGGAGTAGTCACAGATGGTATTAAACATTCGATGAATCCTTTCGATGAGATAGCTATAGAGGAGGCAGTCAGAATGAAAGAGAAGAAGCTAGCTCAAGAAATAATAGTTGTCAGCTGTGGCCCAACGCAATCACAGGATACAATTAGGACTGCGCTCGCTATGGGTGCAGATCGTGGAATTCATGTAGAAATATCTGGTCCAGAATATCAGACATTACAACCTGTTCATATCTCAAAGATACTAGCCAAGCTAGCCCAAGACGAGAAAGTGGATTTAGTCATACTCGGTAAACAAGCTATAGATGATGACAACAACCAAACTGCACAAATGACCGCTGGTGTTTTGGATTGGCCATCTGGGACTTTCTGCAGCAAGGTAAGAAGAAACAAAGATTTCTCTCATATCACAATGATCATCTAAATCTTTTCTTTTTAATCAGATTGAAAACAATAATGGTGAATTAACAATCACGCGTGAGATCGATGGTGGATTAGAAATCGTCAAGATGAAAACTCCTGCAGTTTTGAGCGCTGATCTTCGCCTAAATGAACCGCGCTACGCGACTTTACCAAATATCATGAAGGCCAAGAAAAAGCCTATTAAAAAAATTACTTCAAAAGATTTAGGAGTGGACCTGACGCCGAGAATTGAGATACTCTCTGTCGAAGATCCGCCAGTTAGGCAAGCCGGTGTTATTTTACCAGATGTGGACACCTTGATAGTCAAATTAAAAGAAGCTGGCCACATTTAGGAATAATTAAGAGAGAAGAAAAACGAAAAATGTTTTAATCTTTATATTTTGATAACTTGTTTTGTATATAGCATAATGCTTTTGTACATCATCACAAAATTTGTATATGATATATATATTTCAATATAAATTTGTACCACTGTGTACGCGCGTATGCGTTAAGGAAAGAAGACAAATGTAATTAATAATATATATTTAATAAAATTATATATATATATATATATATATATATATATACACACACATACACATACATACATAGATGAAGAAAAGAAAATGAAGAATTTATTTCTAATTTGATTGGAAGATGGAAATAAAAAATCTTATTCTTATCATTTCTCTTTAAATGTTTACAGTTCAATAGAATAAAATTGTAAGATTTTGTAAAATTAAGAAATTAAAATTAAAATTATTTATTTAATTTCATTTCTTTGATATATTAAAAAAATCACATGTATATTTGTAAAAATCACATGACTTTATTTCTTTTTTCGTAATAAAAATTTGAAAAAGGCTACGTGTACAAGTTAATTTATATAAATTATTTTTAGGAGATGGAAATAAATATTAATTTTATTCCTCAAGTAAATGTTCGATCTATGTGCTTTAATATCATATCATCTACATTAATACTCAACAGGAACAGAATATTGAGAATATAAAACATTTATTTCATAATGCATTAAATTCTAGTGACAATTGATAAAATTAATAAAGTTAAACTTTAAATCACAATAGTTCGAAAATACAATCGGAATTCAGTGATATCAATCGTAATGAAAGATATGGAATTAGGATAATTTTTCGCTGAAATAATTCTACGAAGAAATGAAAATAAAATATTTTGTGATTATATTTTGCAAAATATTAAATATTTCGTTAAACTTGGCTAGCACATGACCTTGCTGAATTATTATGGCATATCGCATCATGTTTACGATCGTCGAGCGCTGAAACTAACACTCTGTACTCCTCGTATATCACGATGTTATTATTCATGCTATCATTCGCATAGTGATACTTGTGCGGGTAGATAGAAGGTGCCACTTTATGTGTTGCGTTACTTTTTGAGATGCAATTGCAACATGAAAACGCGTTTAACAATCATTATTTCGCGCGATTAACTTCTACGACTAGCAATCCATGAAATGTAGCACATTTGAAATGCTTTCAAGGTATAATCAATTGAATTTTATTAACCACATCATATAGCATTAGGATAAAGATAATTTTTCAATTTTCTGTTATTAATATGAACAGAAAATAGATAAAATCTGAATCAAATGGTATCGTGACCTGTTTAATTAATAATTACAATCATAATTAATATTCGAGTGAGTGTATCATATAAATCAATAGTGTATCATATAAATTTGATGATTTGTTTAAAATTTAGTCGTACGAAGTTCTTCTACTGCATAAATTCGCGAATCAAAACAGATATTGATCATAATTTTGTGCGCTTATATCTTTTTCGCAGTATTCTTTCGTTGCAATATAATAAAAAAAACATGCGTTTAAAGTCAGAAGTGCCGTGCAAAATTCTGTGTAAACGGTACATATTGTAATAATTACAGATACGATCATAATTAATTATATTTTCGTGATTGATTGCGATATGAGTGCCATGAAGAATTAAAGAAAGGCGACGACAAGAGAGGAAGAGTTCATTGCGAGTTGTGATGGCGAAGCAACCATGAAGTGAGCAATTTGTCATTTATTATTTTATTTGTAATGTTTCTAAATCAGTTATTTATGATGTTTTGCATTTGTATTTTACGATTTAACGTACTCGCATCGTTGCGCATCATATTGGTGCGTGATAAATTATGTTTTATTTTAATTTAAAGCAATGAATGCGTGCAAGAATATAATAACGAAAATATATGCAGACATATGTACGTATATATGAAGTTAAGAGTTAAAAATATGGATAAATACAATATCTCATAGATTCATTGTTCTAAAATAAATACTGTATACGAGATATTTTACATTCTGTGTCAGAATACACTAGAATAAAGTATAAAATATCTTGTAAATTATTGATTTTTTGATTACTGCATCTTAATACATCTATATTTAGAATAATTAAAAAAATGTCATGTAACAAAAAGTATATGATTATATTAAAAAAAATGACGACCATAAAAATATTGATAGTGATTTTATCTGCAAATGAATCAATATCATAATTGTATGACCTTCTCGAAACTTTATAACTTTCGCCTGAACCATTTTCTTGTCAATTATTTCGTTTCTAAAATATTTCACTGTTTTCATAAAAATGGGACACCCTATATATATTTTATTTTTACGGATAAAAGGATTATTTAAAAACGAGATGTTTTGAAGTTGCAAAGTATCTCGATAGTACAAACTTGATCTAGTCAGTCATATGAAAATCTAAGAAGGAACGTTTTATCGAACTTTTCCGATTTTCCGACGGTGCCCATAAAGGAACTGAATAGAGACAAAAATCGGCGGAGTATCTCCCCATCAAATTTGTAAGATCGTAAAGCCTCCGCTACGTTGTTATATTCTACCTTCCTCTTTTCCCTCGTATCGAAACTGCGCGAAGTTTTATTATGAAATAATAAAATATGTGAGAATATCACAGAACCTAAAGGTTTTGATTTACAGTCCAAGTTTTATCGTATCAGGTCGAAGCAAAACGTGAGGAAGAAAAAAATAAAAAAGAAAGAAAGGCAAAAAGAGGAAGAAACGTGAATAGCTGTGGTCTTACCCGGTAATATTTGCGCCTTGCATTTTACATTAGAAAGTTCGAGCTTCTGGCTCTCATCGGTAATACTGTCCTAAGCCGACGCGAGTGGAAGAGGATGAAAGAAGAAGAGAGGGATGATAGTTCGGAAGAGAGACAGCGGCACATGATTTTGAAGATGTGTAGAGCCGTATTTTGTCGTTTTGCTATCGAAATCTCTTCGACATAACATGGGGTCAGGTTTACATTCGCCAAATTCGAGATTCGAATGTTCGTTTTATACGACGATAAAAGCTCGCAAGCAACACCAGATGCTTCCTCCGAACTGTCTCGATGTGACATAAATGTGAGAAATTGCTTGTGAAATGTGGAAAATTACAGCTTCCATCCTTCACAATTCTTTATAGAATAATCAAATCAATTATCTCTTTTCGCTTTTAATAATAATATAGTACAAAATACGTAGTACAAAAATACGACAATCAGAGCAGAATACTTCTCAAGATCAAAACATTCCAGAAATATAGTGCGAACTTTCATTTGTCTCAATATGTTTGTCCCAATTAAAATTGAGATCGTCGTAATTAACTTTATAATAATTTTAATAAATTTATAATTGACACTTCTTTATTTTTAGATAACATTATTTATTAAATAATTTTATTTTGGCATTTTCCCTATTTAAAGAAAAACACATTAACGTTAATTTTGATATTTTATTTTGATGTAATAAATAAATGATATTTATAAATGACATATTCTATACCTCCTCCCCTTGAAAAAATTATATAAATATAGGAAAATATTTTGGGCTAATGGTATGTAGCTTTTCTTTTCGTGCAAAAATCGATTCTTTTACTTCTAAAATTTACTGATGGCATTTTCGTTCGATTTGCGGAAGTTCCTACAATATGCGCGGAATTTCACAACATCGCGGAGTTACACTATTTCCTTCTTCCTCTTTCTTTGTCTTTCATTGTCTTGAATCTTGTTTCTTCTTCGTTTCTTTCGAACGAGACTTTATCGTCAGGACATTACGGCTTAGCAGTGTCTTGAAAAACTTTCCAGTTTTCACCAAGCGAATAGTGAGTCGAAACCCCCATATAACTCGATTAGAAGACGGAGAAAGAAATGTAAGGGGAAAAAAGGGACGGAGGTATATAGCATTACAGTAAAGAAGAACAAGAAAAAGAGGACATAGTTCAATTATCGGTACGCGGTGGTTGCTTTATTCTTCTTATTTATATGTCTCTTTTAAGTTTTCCTTGCAATTCCGCGAAAAAGATATACAATATGTATATAAATATGCTTCTCTCTACTTTTCTCTAAATATTATGTTTCACGATGTCGCAACGTGATTAATATTTCTTTATGATGTATAATATTTTGTAGCTAGGATTATTACATCCAGAATGAATAGCTAAACAAAGTACGCGAAGAAATTAATTACTCTGTAACGACCTTACCAATCTTAATGCAAAAAGATTCCCATGGTCTAAAATGGATGGTTAACCAAAGTACTGGGTAGGAATTAATTACTCTGTAATCTGTAGTCCTTACCAATTTCATTACGAAAGAATCTTTACGTTATACGGCGAACAGCTAAATGAAATAACCGACAAAGATTAAGGACTGGAATTTTATTACTTAATTTTCAGAAGAAGTTTACTTTTTTTGTGCTATTTATTTCACGTTTTGATAATAATTAATATTGCTGCGTAGATAGAGATATTTTTATCACTGTTTTTAAGAAACTTATAATAATTATTAACTGTAAGTATCAAGTAAAATTTATAAACAAATGCAATATGTTTATAAATATATTGTCAAATTTTTAGATTGCGCCGGCGGAATTATGTACGGAATTGTGTAATTGCTAAATGACTTCCATTAAATTTCGATTAAAGAGAATTTCAGATTGTTCACGGAATTTGTAACTAATTGGATAACTCTTATACACACCGGTTAAGTGAGACACGGGCAGGAGGGTGAGAAAGGAAAAATGTAACGTGCGTAGGCACGATAGAACGAATAGGGTGAAACCGGGAGTCCATGGGAGATTTCAAACGTAATAGAGGCGGATACTCTAGCGGCACGCATTATTCTCGTTACGGAGCTGAGGCCGAGGTTTATGGTGCGGATGGTTATAGTTCGTGATAACGGTTTATGCCCAGTGTTGCTGACTCCTTCCAGAGTTGACGGATGCCGCGAGCTATTGCTTCCCGTCCCATTTCTTTTCCCATTTCTTTTCGTTTTTCTGTTTCGCCCTTGTCTGGACGTCATTTCTCTGTGTTATCGTGAGAGGCAATTCTCAATTCCGCATGCATTAATTCGACTAACTCATCCTACGCCAGTTAACTCGATTTTCTAAATTGCAATTATTATTTATTATGTAAGATACATGTAAGGTAAGTTTATATAAAATTTAGTTCCCGTTTTTATTTTAACTTCGATTTAGTAACTACTTTTTCTTCTAAATTTTCTAAAAAATTA